TTTTCAAGTTAAATTAGATATTCACTATTTGAATACTGCAGTACACCTTCAATTTACATCGGGAGTACAATGCATGAAAATTAACTATAATATTTTAAACTGACATTGGAAGGAAAAATGGAAGGAAATTTAGAATTTTGAGAAGGAAATTTTGCGAAAAAAAAGGACAAAAACGAGACATTTGCTTTGCCAAAGTGGAAGCACTGGCAGCTCCTCCATTAGCTACGCAGTGCTGATGAGCCCAACAGGACGAAACAGCTTGTCCACAGCTGCTAATGTGAGCAGGACACACTAAAGTCATAGTCCGTTCATGGCTCTTTATACTGCTTCAAAACTACGACATGTAGTACGCATGCGTATTCGAGATATGACTTACTTGTCACTTTTATAATAGTTTTGTGTGTCCCACATCCACATCCTAATATAACTTGTCCTTGTCCAATTTGCCGATAAATCCGTTATTTGGTCGACAACATGTTTTCAGGGGGTGTTACAAAACCTCCCCTCCCCACTATAGCGACGGCCCTGTGAACTGAGAAAACGGCAAAATCTTACCCAGTGTTGTAACGAGTCGAGTCATTGACTGGAGTCGAATGCGAAAAATGACTCGAGTCAACAACCCCAAATGACTCGACCCGGACTCGACTTGCTGACTTTTGCCGTGAATTGCTCGAGCTGAGTCAACTCAGCTACAACTTGTACAGAATAAATTCATCATGAATATTATTGTGATTTTATTGCTTGGGAAGACCAACGAGTTCTGTGAACAATGAGAACTCGAAACTTTATCAGAAAATATATGGGGATTCGCATAAATTAAGGAAAGTCATTTGGTTCTTCCAGAAAACTTTCGTGAGCTGCTGAAAAGGCCCAATTCCCCCTACAATTATGCTTTCGACAGTCCTCGCGATAGTCCAGTAATGCTTTGAATTTATATGCACTACTTTATGCTCTTGTTTTTAGTTTCTCATCACAAACCGAGGATTGCAAAAGATCAACATCCCACATGCAAGACCTCAGACATGCTACACAGTGATATTGTTACCAATGGAGTCTTACACAGAAAACATGATAATTTCACATTTCTGGGTCAAGTACGAAGCATGAAAGAATGCCTTGGCCTGTGTTGTACTTACAAGAAATGCGAATTAGCTTATCTCGTGAACAATACAAACTGTTTTTCAACACAGTGTGAAGATCCTGAACACTGTAAGATTAAGAAAGATGAGCCAAAGAGTCGATCACAAGATGTTCAAATGTCATTGATGGTCAGGAATGAGGGAAATCAGAAAGGTATTATAGGCAATTTTTAATGTGCTAAAAGAATTAGAATCACTGGAGCCCCTCGGTTTCAAATACATCCCGTCTCTGATAAGCCCCAGCCCTTTTCAGATACATTTATCAATTAAGTCTCCTCCCTATTAAGCCTATCACAGAGACATTTATTAATCGGTCTGGGAAGTTTATGTCTAAGGCGCCCTCTTTATTAGCCCCATCAAAAGCCTCCTCTGACCACAGGCCTCTGACGTGTCTGAAAATATCTTAGGAAATCTTCGTTTTCAACCATATTTATATTGAATACACTTAAGACACTAACAGGGCAATATGATCATTTCGAGGAAGGTTCATGAGAAGTCTCGTGCTGTCGATATATAAACAAATTTGAACGGTGGTAGTGTTGCCATGGCAACCATGGCGTTTCATCTTTTGCACTTGTATTGTCCAATTTCACAATCAAACGACAATATCTTTATTTTTCCTTCAGTCAATTTTTCTGAAATTTTTTTGAAAGATTTATGATTGATAGAGGAATAACTCAGGGCAAAGCCCTTGGGAAATATCATCACTTTCGGGTAATATTTCGCCGAATCAATGTTAGGCTAATAGATATTGTAAATGTTAATAGATATTGTAAAAGGTTTCTTATTGACTTTTTAGTTATTGCCGCTCGACGTAACATTTCATTAGAACTAGAGTGTAAAAGCTACGAAAAGCGCTATTGAGCCCACAGGAAATGGTGCTCTAGAAATATAGTATTATCATAATTATTATGAAAACGATATACTTTTAGTTTACGTCACTGCTTACGTCATTATGGCGATGGCGATGTTTGGCGCTGCACTCTCTGGAACTGTCTGGATTGCTTATGTATTTGTGAAGAAGTAAGTGAATATACTTAAAGTAGGCGTGTCCCATACATGAGTATTAATATGAATTACTAATTTAGATATTCATTTTAAAGAAATAAATATATTGCGCCTCTTTTGCTTTCCGACTTTTAAAATATTTTTTCAATATGTTCATCCCATAGATTACATGCATAGATATCTTATATACACTAGATAGTGCATCTAATTATTCTGCAATTCAAAAATTGAAGCCGTGATTGCAGTCTCAGGTCGTTCCCATGAAATGAGAAGATTCGTATGTTTTCTATTTCTTAAACAGGGAACTTAAACATTAAGTTAACCCTATTCCAAATACATTTTTAAACTATTCAAATGATGAAAGTTATTGTTGTTTTTAAGCGTTTATTAGCAAGTGGGAACGACCAACATGGCCGCCATCTATTCAAATGGGGGTAACCGCTGGAATATTCTAGGCTTCAATTTTACTAAAAGAGATGCGCTATCTAGTGTATATAAGATATCTATGATTACATGTAACAAAATCCCTAGACATTCTAAAGAGCTAGTTCTACTAATAGACTTATTGTTGAAAATCACGTCATTAATATAAAGTAGAAATAACAGAGGCTCTAAAATTGACCGCTGTGGGATACCGCAAATGATCAGTTTTGGAGGGACGACGAGTGGCTAATAATGATACAAACATAATTTGTACATCATAATGTTGAAGTTAAAGTACGTGCGCCTTAATAAATACGCATGTAACGCATCATCCTCATGATCATCGTCGTCATTATCCTTGTATCTCCTCATAGGAGTTAAGATAAAGATTTATTTAGTCATTTAATCAGTCAACCAGCGTAAGTCAAATGTGACGAAGGGCAGGCCTAGGCTTGTAGTGTAAAAACGGCTCTTGACCCATTTCTCTCGACTCATAGTTAAACGTTAATCGTTTTCCTTTCTTTCCATTAACAATCGAGTAATATATGACGTGACACTCAATGCCCAAACCATCTCAATCGTGCACCTCGTTCATCTTGTTGACGAACTTTCACATCTTTCCTAAAATTGGCAATCCTCCTTCTTCTGTGTAATGTTGGCTAGTACTTAAGAACTTAATTTCAGGATAGGCCCTTTGGATAAACTACTGAAATGGATGAATGGCATTATGGCATAGAGAACAGTGAGATCTTCAAAACAATAAAATAAGATAATATAGAACATTCCGATCACTCGTGATTGGATTTAGCACTATATTTTCATGCTAAATGTTATGAAAAGTGGCTATTAACTGGTGTACAGTAACTAGTAAAAACGTTGCTGTTCGTGTATCTAATGCACAATGTGTGGTCAGGTGAACCACACTTTGCCTTCTTCAATGTGTACCTGAACACTCTGCGTGAAATCATCATAATAGAATATTTAACTAGTCTCTAATGCAGAGAAGACAAGTTTCTGCTTTTCCAGACTGTTGTCTTTCCTTATACAGTGCTTTTGCTTATCTCACATTATAAAAATTAGGCTAGATTATCTGTCTGGAATAATCATACGGTCATGTTTGATTGATTTCAGATACAGAGAAAAGAAGGAAGATGAAAAGGAACGTGAAAAATTATCCAAAGAACCCCAGGTAATAAATGACGAGTCATTCCACAAGTTAAACGACAGTAAGTAGAAGAAAGGGCCTAGGTACTGTACAAGGTTACTGTAACCTTGTACAGTACCTAGGCCCTTTCTTCTACGCTCCTACCTCATTGAACCTGCGTACGAGGTTAGAACGACTAACTACTTCTAACCACTAATTCACAATGGACTAGCTATTGTTTCGTGTACACTCACACAAATTACCCTTATTCAAGCAGTAGACAGAGAGCTAAAGTGAATATGTTTTGTGATTGGCTTTAGTAAACAGAACTGATCAATGACTTGTTCTGTAGAAAATCTATCTTGTAGCTCAGGCTTTCTTGCCATCCTACTTTTCCTAAAATTCTAGTCCTACTTTTATCCTACTTTTCTACACAAGGATGCCAGAAAGCCTGTATAGCTATATCGTGGTTCATTGTTATAATCAACCACGGAACTTGTTCCCATAGCTTGGTTATGTCCCAGTGAAATGAATGCTACCTTCAGATAAATTGCCTATCTTTTTCTTGAAGCCAAATCTGTCCTCCAGACACGCGTGTCTGGGAGTCAAAATCCGCGTGTTTATGATTCGCGACTCTCTCGCGAGACCGTGTTCAGAGAGCGACCAGCCGCTTTAATAAGAAAAGAACTAAAAGTCAATTCTACTAGGAAGTTTTACCTGAATATTTACATTAATACAAAGTTTTGAGCGCTGATAAAAAGCTTTTTTGTAAATTTTAAGCCGGCTTTCAAGAATAAGGCCCGACCAGGTGGGTACCAAGGATACCCAAATACCCGGTGGTATATTTTTGGTCAGATACCAATGCAATATACCCAAATTTGGAGGAAATCCATGCCAGATACTAAACACCTAAAATTACGAAACTAATGAAATACTAAAATCTAAATACCTAAAATCCACTTTTCTTTTACAATAAGTGACATTAAAGTGAATTAAAAGTGACATTAATTACTCGGCGGTTAAGGCAAGGTTGCAGCATTCCGTGCTTCGTTACGCATCGGGTTGATCGGGTGATCTAGGTTGTTTACCATTTACATGGAAAACCCATCCGGTTTGAAATTGTGCTAATGGTAAGCAAAATTTCGGATAGAAAATCCCATTCGGATTATGCGCTTTCCATTTAGAGTGACTGACCGGAAGGCACTGAAGGGTTGTTTACCATTGATATGGAAAACCCATTCGGTTTGAATTAAATCGCGAAGAGCCTGGAACTGGTGAAAGAAACAAAAGATGTAAATGGAACAACATTCACCGGTTGAAACGTTCCAATCGGTAAGAGAGGACAACCTTTTCAAACAAACCGTTTATTCCGGAAAAGTTCCGTTTGGGCCGTTTGTTCCATTTACATTCCGTATGGAATCACCGGAATTTCCATGTAAATGGTAAACAATTAACCCAGGGCTCAAAATTTTCAATTTGACTGGATCTGAAGTAATTTATATTCATGCATCATAACTCTAACACTGATACCAAAAACCCAAAATTAAAGCGTCGACAATACCATATACCTCAAATAAAACGCCCAAGATACCCGTATACCCAAAACCCATGGAAAGGCCTGAAGAATACATATTCAATGTTGACGGATTGACCACCCTTTTCGCATGCGCGAAAAGACTGGGACTGGTCTTCAAGTTTGGCTTCAAATTTCCTTTGGCTTCAAATGCTATAGGAAACACAACATCTGAAAGATTATCCTTTGAAAGTGTAACAACGTAATCAAGAATGATTGTGTGGAATTGTGTTGTGCAAGATACCACAAATCACATGGCATAATTAGGAAAGTGTCATCTTTGCATGCTTTCTGTCTCAGTGGTAGAGATTGTAGTTCATGCATGGTTCATGGTTGTAAGTTTTGTCCTTCAGAGGACGACCGTTCGTTGTATTAGCTGTATATAATCTGGTTTCCATTTGGATGGTGGAATAGTTAATATTATCCAATACTCCAGCTGGTGCAATGTTTCGTTGTCGCTCACTGCTGTTTTATGTTTATGTAGGTGTATTGAAAAGGCAAAGACGTCAATAAAGATTTCAACACAAGTCTGTTGTGCTCAGCAGTTGGCAAGTCTAGGCAAGTTATGCAGGTAGTTTTAGTTGCCATTGGCAACTAAAACTACCTGCATAACTTGCCTAGAAAGACCAAGCCAATATGTAGTTTGGATAAAACAAGCATTCAGTCAAAGTTCGAACAGCAATGAATAAACAGTAGCTCCGTATGTAATACATGTGGTTATACTTTGTGTCCTTTGTTAAGGTATATAAATGAAAATGCGCAATAAATGTATATAAAAGTTTGTATTGTAGTAAAAGAAAAAAATTATAAAAGATAAACATGAAAGATTGTTATCATTGAATTATGAAGTAGCAACTGAGCTCACTACCACTCTCTCGTTCCCCATGTATTCTTTCCTGATTTTCCAATACTTAGATTCAAAATATATAGATTTTGTTGGCATCTCACTCCGACAGAGTGAGTCAATCGGATTGAATAGCAGTAGTTGAATGGTCTTGTAGATGGAAATTATCGAGTGGAAATTTATATGGCATAAAATGCAACTATTTGTCCCTGGCGGGAATCGAACCTGCGATTACGGTAGTTGCATATTTCGCAGCTCTTCCTGATTAGGTCTAATAAATGTATATAAATTTCCACTCGATAATTTCCAGCCATAAGACCCTACATGACCAAGACATATTCAAAACGTTCCCTAATCGTCCATAATTTACCTTTAATTCACTGGAAACGTCAACCCGGCGCTAATATCATGAAAATAGTCGTGGTTATTTATAATGACAACTTAGGGTAATTGTAATTTTATTGCCTAAATCACGTGCTCTAAAACGACCCAAAGATGGGTAGGGATAAAACGCTGAAATGGGGATAAAACGCTGAAATGGGGATAAAACGCTGAATTGGGGATAAAACGCTGAATTGGGGATAAAACGCTGAAATGGGGATAAAACGCTGAAATGGGGATAAAACGCTGAAATGGGGGATAAAACGCTGAAATGGGGGATAAAACGCTGAAATGGGCAAACTTAATCGAATTCGTTGTTTGCTAGACAATTGCGAACACATGTAGTTTGCCTATAAAACTGAATAAATGTAAGAAAGAAGTTCCCGCGGTAAAATGACAACTACAAATTTTCGAAGAACGAATTTTATCTGACAGTTTATCTTTTAATAATGTAATCTACAATTCTCTCCATATAACTTCGAACTCAACTTCTTGTGATAGCATACTATCATAACACTGCGTCACTGCCATATGGCTGGTATTTTGGGTGTAAAACCGGTGTCACAGGAATTTCCCGGGAATTGTCAGGACACGTGTCTAAATCGGAAAAAACGTTTTTCCTCTCCTGCATACACGCGTAAAAATCATGAACTTGTAGTTGCAATGTTGATAAAAACAGGTTGCAACAATATTGTGCTACACCTATTGTTCACGAATGTTAACAATATTGTTCAGCATTATATAATACCTTATTGAATTCTGATCGTTTAATTGGCTGTTTATGGTCACGTGATATTGAATAGAAAATTCCATTTCCCAAGAGTGCAATGGAATACGTTCCATTGCACTCTTTGAGAGTGCAATTGTACTATACGTTTTGTTCCATTGCACTCTTTGTGTTTTCGATAAATTGCATCCGTCAAAATGCTTCTCATACGAATCTATCAGTCTATTTTGGTATTATACTGGGCTGTCGCCTCGTGGAATGGAACATTCCATCTTTCACCTCATGAAAATATTCTTACCATTGCACGAATAAACATTCATAATTTGTATATTGTTGCACCCCATTCAAGATGAATAATATTGTTCAATGTTGTTAACTGTAAAAAATAGGTCAGCATAATATTGTTGCAACCTGTTGTATAGGCAGTACAGTACGGTACGGTACGGTACGGTACGTTACGTTACGTTACGTTACGTTACGTTACGGTACGGTACAGTACAGGCAGTACAGCAGGCTCAGGCTCGTTTTTGGCCGTGTAGAACCCACACTTCTCTATGACAAGAAACAACGCCCAAAGATGGAAATTTCGAATTCAGCGTTTTATTTCCATTTCAGCGTTTTATCTCTAATTCAGCGTTTTATTCCCAATTCAGCATTTTATCCCCATTTCAGCGTTTTATCCCCCATCTCAGCGTTTTATCCCCATTTCAGCGTTTTATCCCCATTTCAGCGTTTTATCCCCATTTCAGCGTTTTATCCCCATTTCAGCGTTTTATCCCCCATTTCAGTTTCCGCTTTCAGTTTCCGTTTCCGCGATTCAGTTTCAGCGTTTTATCCTTACCTCTAAGAGATGTCATCAGTTTACTTTTCTTTTAAAATAATTCTCTCTTAAACTATTAATTTTGAAATAGCGTCTTAAGTGTATTATAGTATTATAAGTACTTTAAGATGAAACTGAATTCTGTTGAAATCAGTTAATTCCTCAGAAATGTAGCCCACAAGAGTTTATAAACAAGACAAGCCAACGAACAAAACAGGCACATGAAAACACCTGAGTGCATGATTAGCTACAGTACAACAATTGCAATAATATATTACTGACTCGTGCTTTGAATTGAAACCATATATGTACCTGTGACATGCATCATCTCTATCGTAGATCGATAGGAATCTCGCTTATCACAAAACTTATACCTCGAAAACTTTTCTTTGTTTTCCTTCAACATCTGAAAAAAAAATGTTTATATTTTGTTGTGGTATATAGGGATAAGCTTCACAGTTGGTTAAGTGCTTACATATATACTGGTAGTGTAATTACCCGGAACCTTTATTTATAAGCAACTGATTTTACACTATTGAAGATTTGATACAACCTTAAGCTTGAAGTCTTTTAAGCTTTCAGTTTCATGTATGTATACAAAAGAAATAAGTTTATTTGATGAAAGTAATTTTGAAACTCGAGTTTTTCTCAACATACTTTAGTTGCTGATGGCAGCTGCCAAATAAAGCGTTACCTGGTACCGGTTACTGCATACTTCATTACTTTAATTAAATTCCGTTTAGACTTTCAAATCTCCATGTTTGTGATTAATCACTGGTCAAGAACTTACTTCTTTTCACGTTCAATTGATGAAATGACAGATGTCAAAACTAGATGTCAAAACTGGATCATCTAACCGTTTCTGCTGAGTGTAATTGTCTACCGCTAGAGACAAATAAAATAAATCTGCGTTCAAGTCTTATAGCGCCGTGAAATTGCAAGGAGTTTTGATGATATCATACCTGGCTTATCAAGGGTGACATAATTTTGTTTATGATTTCATGCTGGACTAATATGTTGAAGTCCCACAGAAGAATCTTTGCTGATGGCATTTGTGAACGTTAATAAAAAAGTGTCATATTTCACATAGAAACGTTTTGGTTGAGTTGGTACCAAGATAAGGGTGTGATGCTTCAAAGCATCTTTGGATCCAAAAGTGAAGAATTTGCTTGTCTCGAAATATCTGCTTTATAATCTGCTTCTTAAACCTGGCATTTTCATGAGATTTTACAACGTCAACATCTTTGTAATATTGACTGTCATTTTCATCTATGTTCATCATGGTATTGTTACTGGTAAGTTCAAATTTGCAGTAAGTTTATTTCTACCTAGCTAGTTGAGGATCTCAATATGTTGATGTGCACGATGACAATGTAGCTACTTGGTTGTTTCATCCACGAGATTTGAAACATACTGTATTTTGTTCACTAAACACAAACTGTCTGTAATATTATTATACGTCTTATTATATATAAGCGTGCCTGAAGTGAGAACAAACCATTTCAACGCACTACTCGAGTAATTAACATCCTCAAGCATGATCAATCGTGTTGTGAAACAAAGACCCAGTGAACAAGTAATGTAAATAATACTGAGCTTTTTTTTCAATAATGATTATGAAGCTATGCATGAATTTGAAAATATATGATCACGATATGGTAGAAAATTATGTACTGTACAGAAAAACTCGGTCCTTATAATTTTATTAATGACAAGTAAATATTTATCCAAGTCGTTCATAAATGTAGTAAAATAATAGGAAAACTTAAAACTAAAACCACATTTGTTTAGTTCTTTTTCATAGTCTCTGAATTCGGAACACATGCTATCAATTCTTTTTTCCAGACTTTTGACTCAATCAACGCTAACGTGAAGATATGGATCAATTAGCCTTTCTCACGAAGGCCAAAATCCGCCATTTTGGGGGTATTGTCTGCCCTCGTGAAAGATTTTAGACAATTCAAACAACGTAAAAAGCGACTTTTCAATGTTGTAACTGTAAATTTACCATTATACAAACAACTATAATACTAAATAGTATTTCGTGGTGCGAAGACTCTCAAACTTGGGTGAGGCAGTACCCCCAAAATGGCGTGAAAATTGACCGTGAGAAAGGTTAATTACTTAAATACTGTAACTTAATTCATAACAGCATTTTGCGTTTTTTGATCCACATACTTGTGGTGTTCGAAATCTGATTTTTACATGACGTTTCGGCATCTGAATGGTTACGGTATTATATATTGTTTAATTAACATCTCTCTAATCTCTTTAGACTCAGTTCTTGTAAAGTTCTTCTATATTTCCATAAATAAAGTTCTTCTATATTTCAGCAAGGTTCTTCTAGATTTCCGTAAATATTGTTCTTCTATATTTTCGTTACGTTTTTCTATGTTTCCGTTGGTAGGGTTATCATCGTTTAAGACGTCAAACCCAACTGGGAAACATCCATGGTTACCAATGCCACCATTTTCGAGATCACAACATACCCAGAAAACGTTTTATCACGAAAATATTACATCAAAAGGCAACAACATAACAAGAGGAAGTGCGTTGCCTGTATTATCACAGAACGATGATCTTTTGACATCAAAAGGTCTCCAAGAACTATATCAAGAGGCATATTTGCTGCTAAAAGATGTACTAAAAGCTAGAAAACTAAACAAAAATACTTCAACCATTGACATTCATGTCAAAAGAAACCCAAAGGGAGTTTTTATTCATAATAAAACATCTTCATTAAGGCAATCGAAGTTGCTGGGACAATCACCTCTTCCGCCATTTAAAACAAGACAAAAAAATACAACTTCTTTTCCAGTTACAAACAATAATGTAACAGGTACGATATACACTAGCAAAATATCAAATTTTTCAAACTCGGACAAGAATGAAAGCAAAGCAAACAATTACTTTAGAATATTTACAGTCGATCAAGCAAATTTTATTCAAACCTTGCTTGGAAAAAAGTGGATAAACAATAGAACACAATCTGATGAAACGTCTTACAGAAATAGAGGAAAACAATTTATGAGTACTGAATGGAACAACGAGAAAACTCAACTGTCTCAAAATAAAACAAAGGATAACGATCGGTCAAAAAATACTACAACTTCAAGCAGTTTTGACAATTTAGCAAAACCTAAAACGCACTCACACGATCGTAGTGGCGCCAACAGGAATTCAAGCAGGCTACAGTCGTCGGCCTACAATCGGACAAGTGTATTGCATAATTTGGACCATCCATCCAATTTGTCACGTAAGTATGAGTATACGAGCATAATTCATAACCGCAAGATGAAAGCTTTAAAACACCTCTTGAAGAATGACTGTCTCGTACGTTATTTCCATGCATTCGAACCTAAGTTGTGAATAGGTATTGTTGAATGTCATCAGGGGTCAAATATCAAATTAATGGAGTGAAAGTTTTCAGTCTTTAATTTGCATACAGTAGTTATTGTTACTGTTATTGGGAAATATATCTCAAACTCATTAATAATTCACGAGTAAATTAACCAACCATATTGCTTTATTTTGCCCACATGATAATACTGGATACCTATAATTCAATTCTTGGATTGGATAAAAATTAATTCAAACCACTTTAAGTAGTTATTTATTCGTATGAGATGTCATTTCATCCTCGCATTTTCATCCAGTCCTCAAATTGCGCGGACTTGAAATCTAGTCCAGTCCTTGTCCAGTCGTCATAGTCGGATTTGAAATGTTACATCCTTATAGTCTTGTTTAACACCTTCAAGTTGTCATTAATATAATGTCCGTTTACTCTTATTTAGAACAATATAATCTATTAACACAAGAGATAGTTGTGGAAAGTGGTGATAAGCGAGATAGAAGACCAGATGACACTTGTTCGACTGGTGCTGTGAAGTACAATCAAACTTTAACATTTGGTCTAAATGCAGGACAGTTTACTGAAGAAACCACAGCGAAGACAATGGAAAACTGTATTTCTCATTGTTGTTCAAGGAAAAGCTGTGATGTGGTTTTTATGTTGAAAGAAAGTTGTTTTCTTGTGAAATGTCACAACAAATCATCTTGTTATTCACGACAAGCTAAATCTCTCAGTTTTAATCCAAGATTGACTTACGTCTTTCGCCACACGCAAAATGGTATGCATCAATTTTGTATCCATGCGGCCTCCCCCAAATTAAAGCCCTACTTGTCATGACAGTCTGATTCAGTTCTACTTAAGGTGTCTTGATTCTGCTATTTAAAATGAAAAATTCAGTATTTAGACCCAAATCGTTGGAAAGCTGTTATTTTTCAGCAAACGAAGAGTTTATCTGTTTCACAGAAAACAATTTCACAATAATTACGTAACTACCGTGGCTTTACTAAACAGTTGAAATGTGATCCTCATACTTTATTTCATAAAATATTTATTTAGCATTTTTAAATTGTTTTATATCTTGTAAAATGAAACGATACCACTCATTCACTCTGAAATAGGCCTTTCCATGAATTTTGCAAACCTTCAATCACATTGTTATCTACTTTGCTGATGTTTGCAATAAGTTACAGTTTCCACTAAGTATAATTCTAGAAAATACAAATCAACGTTTCAACTGAGGAATCATGACACTGCAAGATTGAGGAATAGTTAACAAATTTCGTTATGTCCATTGTTGTGATGGTTTTCTAAAACTGAGCACTGTTGTGTTGTTTTTCCAAAATTAGACCGACTTCCAACAAAAGGTAATGCTTCCCAGAAACCAAAAGAACAGTGCAGTTATCAGAAAATGATTCAAAATATGACATTGCATGGAGGACTAGATGCTGGATTGTTTACTTTACATGGTGATGTTAAAACATTGGATAAATGTACGAAATATTGCTGTAATAATAAACATTGTGACATCGCGTTCATGGTGGATGATGCATGTTACTCTGTTCAGTGTAAAGATGAGGAGTCGTGCACACCTGTAGAAATGTCGTTTTCTAAGACTAAAGTATCACTTGCATTCATCTCAAGAGGAAACAGACAACCAATTATAGGTATCATACTATTATTATGGAATTTTTATATATGCCCATCGAGTGAGATGCCCAAAAATCCTGATACTATTAGTATACTCATTATACATATTGTTAGTATAATGACAACCGATGCAAACCGATGCAGCCTGTTCAAACCGAAAGAATAGCGGAAATACGTGTAAGCTACATTAATATATAATTAACACTTTATTACATGAGTGGGAAAGCATGATAATATTATTTTCATAAATCTTTTGTTTAATTATACATCATTAAAAATTTAAAAGAAAACGCTTCCCCTATTTTACTCGCATGGCAGAAATTTAAAATAACTTTTTTGCGTTGTTGTATTCATGTGTACTATGGACGTTTTGTGCATCCTAAATTGTTCATCTTCTTCAGATATAGGTGAACTGAAACCCTTATCTCGTTCTGTGAAAGAACAACCAGAAACAACCTGGTTCTGTAAGAACAGCAATACAAGCAAGATACTGACCAATGTTAAACTACGTGGTGGGCTAAAAGCAGGAAACATCACAAACAAAGGAGCTGTAACAAATTACCATCAGTGTGTGGGATATTGTTGTCAAGACAAACATTGTAATGTTGCTATGACTATAAAAAATAATTGTTTCTTGGTCGCGTGTAAATCATACTCAGATTGCTTACTACAGGAGGCAACTGATCTTCAGTCACAAGTTGTCTACGTCAACTGGGAGACACCAACTGATGAAGTTCTCACCAAAGGTTGGTGTAAATGGTGTACATATTGCTTGCAATACTCCCGACTTGGCATTTTAGCGCGAAGAGGAAACTGTCGACTACCGTTGTACACATTGACAGAGATAAGATAAAACAAATTAATTAACTGCTTTTGAGTAATAGCGGCTGTTACTACGCCACGTTTCATACCTCCTTCACAGGCGTTGAAAAGCTGGCGCGAAAAAATAGGGAGGCACACGCGAAGGTAGTCACGTTCTTGTATAATACATGGCAAGCACTCCAAATTGGCTTAAGTTCGCTAATATCGAAATGGAATCAAGGAGGGGAAAGATGGTTGATTCTCATTTCTAGGAAAGGTGTTAGCATCCCACGTGTCCGCCAATGAAAAGACAGAATAGACAGAATTCCTGATTTGGAATTACGACAGCATGTATAACACAAAGGAAATTTTCGATTGCTAAGGTTTTGAAAAATACACTAAGCAGGCTTGTGATATCCCTTTTCTTAAACAAATTCAATCGGAAATGTTGTGTATAACTGTATTTCATCAGTGTGGTTATTAAGAGGTCTTCTTCGAAAATGTGTTGTATGTTAAATTACTCAATGTAAAGGGTCTATACACGTGCTCAGCTTTTCTCGCTCACTTGGTCTCAAATTTAGAAAGTTCTTGAACAGAAAAATACCCTATCATCGTGGACATCACTTCTTAATCAAATTTTAATCTGTTTTTCATGTGAGAGTTAAATGAAAGTTATTTTCCTGTATCCCCCCTTCCCCATAGGCAATGTTGCTGAGATGTATTGAAAATGTGAGGAAAATAATATCAACTTTGGGTGGGGGGAGGATGGGTGAGGGCGAGTGACGGAGCAAAACCTAAGAAAGTAATTAGTTGAATGCATTTTCATAAAATTGACAGTTTTGTCCCCGGTTGTAAATTATTAATAATGCCTCGTTTTTCTAAAGAATTTCATGTTATACAAATTGATAGGGAAGATTTTGTTAAAAAATCTGGGATGTTGGAACGAGGATGAAAAATTACAAAGTCTGAGATCCTTAGAAGGAACTGATGATCTCTTAATGGACTCTTACAAATCAAGAAGAAATGCAATCATAAAGTGTGCAAAGGTGGCGAGAAAAAGAAATTTCAAAGGTTCGATCACTTAATATTGGGCATATTTTTATACATTTGATTAACAAATGAGGACAATTTTATTATGTGGAATTAAATTAACAAAGAGCGTCCACAGTAGGTTCTGTGCGACGTTGAATAATGTTTACTACGAAAATGCATGAATTCGAAGTTGCGGAATGGCACGTTGAGTTATTTTAGACCAGGAATGCGGCATAGACCATATAGATATCTTATATACACTAGTTAGCGCATCTCTTTTAGTAAAATTGAAGCCAAGAATATTCCAGCGGTTACCCCCATTTGAATAGATGGCGGCCATGTTGGTCGTTCCCACTTAGTAATAAACGCTTAAAAACAACAATAACTTTCATCATTCGAATAGTTTAAAAATGTATTTGGAATAGGGTTAACTTAATGTTTAAGTTCCCTGTTTAAAAAATAGAAACATACGAATCTTCTCATTTCATGGGAACGACCTGAGACTGCAATCATGGCTTCAATTTTTGAATTTCAGAATAATTAGATGCACTATCTAGTGTATATAAGATATCTATGGCATAGACCTGATAGAAGGCGACATAGACCTTATAGAACGCATTATCGAGCTTCCACTTCAAGACGTCGACTCTTTTCCGTGTTTTTGGTATAAGAGATACTAATGGAGTCGTTTGATATATCTGATTAACCAATAAAACGCGTACAAAGCCAGAAAGTGAGCGGTAGTTGGTAGTCAAATCCGAACGACCTCTCTATTAACAAAAGAAGTGCTTTAATTATCTATGGTTAGAGCAATGTTATACAAGTGTTCTGTAGAATATAAAGTGTTGAGAATTAGCATACATTTGAGTTTTAAATATGCAAATGTCTTGCCAAGTTCCAAGATCGCGCGTTGCGCAGTTAACAAAATAATCTTATGTTATTATCCTGGGTACGAGTTTCATTTTTCTAATTTACAGTGTTCGCTCTCCATAACGGAGGTGAATGTCGAAGCGGTCATAGCGCGGGAATTATTTATCAGTCACATGGCAGATCACGTGGTGGTTGTCATAAAGGTATTGGAGATCACGTGTCCAATCATGTTTATCACATGAAAGAAAATGGTAAGCATAGGGTGAGACATATTCATGGTATTTCATAAAACGCCAAAATAAGTGACCAAAATTTCACTGGATAATTGAAATGTTATGCTATAAAGTTTTATGCAAATGACTACCCAGCTGTTGCGCAGTCCCTGCCACCTTTTTCCATGTACTTTTTTTATTTAAGTATAACTTTATATATGTTATTGTCTTTCAATTATGTAATCATCAATTCATTATCGGTATGGGGAAGCTAGGAAAAGTTCATGTCATTAGGCGACATGCCAAACATATCTGTTAAAGATAAATTTGCTATAAAGGAAAATAAAATATGTAAGATATCAAAATAAGTGAACGCACGTGAAATTGGTGATATACTGACAAGCTCAGAAGATGTGTTTCCGAAAATCAAGTCACAAAACTACTAACACATTTATCGAGTTGTCGCTGGGTAGTATCTGAACTACCTGAAAAATCTACAGTAGATGGTTCACTAGAAACCTCCTGAAGATCAGTATTCGTTCGAAACGAGTTATTCGCTATTTTTTTCATTGTAGTTCAGACACAACTCACCTGTATTAATGTAAGAACTGTATATAAGAACTTGACACTTATAATTTCCAGAATTCCGGCATTCATATTTCATAGAGTGCCACAATTCTTAAAATAGCTCATTTCATTCCATTAATATCAGGAAGTGTAGCAGATCACGGTTGTTGGAAAGCAATTCAAAGAGAAGAAAATTTTGTGACGTTGGAATCAACAGATGGACGGGTCAAAGATATATATAAAGGACGAAATGATTCATTATTAAAATGTGCAGAGGCAGCCATCTCTCAACAATACACGCTGTTCGCTCTGCGTGATGGAGGACAATGCTTAGCTGGGCCGAATTTGAAATCTACCGCATACAAGAAACATGGCGTGTCAAAATTATGTACAAATGGTTTGGGATCTGCCTCTTCAAAAAACGTTTATCAAATTATAGGTATGTCTTCTAGATTTCGCGCGACCAGCAACGTTACCACTCGATATCCGAAAGTAGGCACCTGGAAGACGAAATTCGTTGTCCACTGAAAATGAAACCAGCAACCAAAACGTACGGAGTAATAGACAACTTGCATGTTAGACTAATTTTTGATCTAGGAAAAAAGTAAATTCCCGTAAAGAATTTATTAAAATTAGTAAAATTGCAAAATTTGGTTACGAAATGTTGTAAAGTACGGAAAATATAGCCTTGCGGAGTTTGCATATTTTGTGTATGTTTTGAGCCGAAAATGGTAACAATTTCCGCACGTAATACAAACATATACAAAATTTGCAAACTTTGCAAGACTATATTTTCCAAGCTTTACGTTTCCGTTTACTAAGAATAATCTTAGATTAAAATTGAGTCTAACATGCAAATTGTCCATTGACTATATATGAGGTTTCAAAAGTGTTTTCAGAAATACCAGATGACTACATTATTTTGCAAAGCATCTCAAGTAATAGGTTTCTACCATAATATGTTAGAAAGGTTACCCTTTGTAACGGCTGCCTTCCGGCTTCATTTTTTATAGTCCAGTTTTTATTCCAGATCAGTGAATGTTATCCATTGTAGAAAAGTTGACGATCCTTAATTTTACCCGGCCGTTATGACTTCAATGACAGTAACATAAATGGGGGGAGGTTATGTTTATGATGATCTATGCTGATGGGGAAAATATAAATCAAATTAAAGCACTACTCTTCGATTATTAGGTACAACTCAGTTATTCTTACAACAGAATAACAAGGAACCATTTCTGGCACTAAACACCAAGAAACGTCAAAATGCACGACAAAACAACTTCGTGGAATCAAAATTACTTTCAGCAAAGCTTCCTTACAAGCACAGCTCTCCACAGTCTCGTACATTTACACATGGTCTCAAAGCTGGACACTTCACTCACCAAGGAGACGTAAACAATATGGCAAAATGTATACAGTATTGTGGTCAACAACTAGGCTGTTCTGCAGCATTCATGGTTCGTCATGTTTGTTTTACTGTCAAGTGCTACAGTAAAAGATCATGTGACACCGCACCAGCAGTGCATTCTGGGTATAACCCTAAGCTCTCCTTTATCACACATTTACCACCAGCAATGACGTCATACAAAGGTGAGTTGCAAGAGGATGAGCAACGCAGCCGCGGCAAAACCATTTCACTCATCATGAGCGGGATAGGTGTTTTGATATTGAAGTGGTTTTTTCAAATGCATGATATGACCAGCCATTTTTGGAGGACATGTGTGCACACATGATACATAGACCATATATATTTTCATGACGTTTTAGCGTGGGAAATTCTTTATTGCAAAACCTGATTGGAAGCTATTTGTTCTAAAATCGCCCTCTTCTAGCTAAAGTCAAAAATGAAATGGTTGGCCCCTTGGGAATAAGGTATCGTATAAATACGTGAAAGAACTGGTGCAAAAAGATACCATGCACCCCAGGGGCCGGTTGTCAAAAGCCGGTTAGCCTAACCCTGGGTTAACACAAATCTACAAATTAAATTTTCCAACAGGTCATCAATCAAGCTGAATATATTTTCCAGAAATCTTTTCTGGTTCAATAGAGGCTTTATTTTCTAAAGTTTTGAAACGAACAAATAAACAAAAACGAACGAATAAACAAAAACAGCAGGTTAAAATTTAACCCAGGGTTAGCGCTAATCGGGCTTTGAACAACCGGCCCCTGCAGAATTATATAAAGTAGCACAAAAAACTGTAAATTGGGACCAAATAACATCATTTATTATATGGCTTTTCAAAATTTTCTATTCTGATTGGTTGACAAGCGGTCCGTAAAAACCCATATCCGGACCGTGGTCCGTATTTTCCGTATCTGGACCAGTGTTCCGGATGTCGTTTATCTGGCGGGAAATTTTTGCTTTTCACAAAACAGAAACAAAATTTTGCTTTTTAATTTTCCAATTGTGTGTCATTAAAATTTACAGATAAAAATTTCAAACAACCATTTTTTTTTGATCGAGCATGCATGCCTACCGTATATTGTTACGCAGTGAAACTGACGATAGCCCGATTTAATTCGCGCGAAAAGCATATGCTCACAGATTCAGTTCAGCCATATAATAAACCGATTATTGACCTCGCTTGTTCGGTCTGTACTGTGAAATATCAGATCTCTGTTTTTTCGGTCTGATATTTCACAGTACAGACCTCACGCTCGGTCAATAAGCCGTTATTACAGTATTTTGTAATATTAGGTGCAACAATAACTACCACTCTTCCTTCTTGACACAAAATTTTGTATTATTCAATTCTTAATATTCCACTTTTATTTTTAACACCACAACATCGACGACAAAGAAAAAACAAAGCTATACGAAAGAAGACCACTTGCAATTAAATTTCATAAGGATCGTCAACAGAAAGTGAACAAAAGTATAAAAACAAGTGCTTGGGAATCTAGATCGTCGAATAATTCAAATAACATTCGGTACAAGCACAGCTCTCCACAGGCTCGTATATTTATACATGGTCTCAAAGCTGGATACTTCAATCACCAAGGAGACGTAAACAATATGGCTGAATGTATACAGTATTGTGGTCAACAACTAAACTGTTCTGCAGCATTCATGGTTCGTCATGTTTGTTTTAATGTCAAGTGCTACAGTAAAAGATCATGTGACACGGCACGTGCAGTGCATTCTGGGTATAATCCTAAACTCTCCTTCATTACACATTTGTCGCCAACAGTAACATCACAACCAGGTAAGATGGCAGTCATATTTCTATACCAAAGTATACTCAAAGATTGCATATATATATAAGCGTACGGGCCTGATACCTTCCAGGGGAGGGGCACTTGAACGTTTGCCTGAATTTTTGTCAAATATTGACATGAAATGACCAAGATTTAAGTATTTTGCGATGTATTTGCCCAAATTTTCTTCATTCTTTCGAGCATTTGCCCGAATTTCCATGGTTTTCAAATTTATGTGTTTTTTTGGGGGGGGGGGGGG